AGCCCATCATCTTTACCATGGCGCGTCTGGACAAGGTGAAGAACCTGACGGGCCTGGCGGAGATGTACGGCAAGAGCCCGCGCCTGCGCGAGCTGGTGAACCTGGTCATCGTGGGAGGCTACATCGATCCGTCTCTCTCCATGGACCGAGAGGAGGTGCACCAGATCAACGCAATGCACGCCGTCATCGACAAGTACGGGCTGGACAAGGGCGACATGCGGTGGATCGTGGCCCAGAAGCACCGCATGCGCAACGGAGAGCTGTACAGGTATATTGCAGACACCAAGGGCGCTTTCATTCAACCGGCGTTCTACGAGGCCTTCGGTCTCACWGTGGTCGAGGCAATGACCTCGGGGCTGCCGACGTTCGCCACCTGTCATGGAGGTCCCGCCGAGGTCATCAAGCACGGCGTGTCGGGATACCACATTGACATGTACCGACCAGACGAGGTAGCGGACCTGATCGCGGACTTCTTCGAGAGGTGCAAGACGGACCCCGGCGAGTGGGATCAGCTGTCGAAGGCGGGACTGGAGAGGATCTACAGCAAGTTCACCTGGGAGATTTACGCGGGAAGGCTGATGACACTGTCTAGGGTGTACACCTTCTGGAAGTACGTGTCCAACCTGGAGCGGAGGGAGGCAAGGAGGTACATCGAGATGTTCTACAACCTCAAGTACAGGGAGTGCGTCAAGACGGTGCCCCTCGCCATCGAGTAAGGAGAAGGCGGCAAAGAGGAGAGCGATCGCTGTGGACTGCCGGAGGAAGAGACAGAGATAAAGGTAGAAACATAGGGGAATAGATGGATGGATGGATGGATGGATTGATGGATAGCACAAAGAGTCAACAAACAGAACAATAACGAGAGAGAGAGAGAGAGAGAGAGAGAGAGAGAGAGAGAGAGAGAGAGAGAGAGAGAGAGAGAGAGAGCGTAACTTATGGATTTTTGCAGTCTGGGATGATGGTGTAGATGAAGAATAACGTCTGGAGCATTCAGAACGCAGCTTCTTCGCTGCGATGTGTGCGCGGTATGTTAGAACAGGCTTCGTCTGGGAGGCGCAGTGCGTCGGGATATCTGCCCTCGGTTTATCGCCGAGTTTAGCGTCGGTCTGGTCCGAAAGTTAGCCTCTGCCAGGCTGGTGGCATTAGGTGCAGTTTTTTTTTTGTTTTTTTTTTTCGCCTTGGAAGTTCACTTGTGAATCATTCGTGCGGTTCTCGATAGTAACGAGTCGACATCCGTATGGAGTTGCTGGTACGTGCGGTTTGATTCGTTTTCCCAATGCATTATTCTCATGTCGCTTGCTGCTAAGTTTTCGCATTCGTTGTGTGTGTGTGTGTGTGTGTGTGTGTGTGTGTGTG